CCTTATATTTGTATCATTTTAGATATATTATAAATATTTATATCAATTTTCTGCTATCAAATTAAATATATGATATGATATGATAGAGAGAGAAAGAGAGAGAGAGAGAGAGAGAGAGAGAGAGAGATGGTTATACTTTGCAGAGTTGTTGTCCCTGTGAAAGCTCTTCAAAGGGATGTCTTGAGTTACATCGAGTGCAGGCATACATCGATGTCTGGGCTGAAGACATGGCGATCAGCGCAACCGGCCGTCAGACCACTCAGTGTTGTTGTGGGAGTGCGTCGAGTGACCAACACGTGTCTCGTCGGCCAGTAATACGCGAGTTGTGTCCACTAGTAGTGTGCGCTCAGCGGCGGTAATGGCGGCCAAACACTAGACATATAAGCGTTGATCAGACATCACATTGAGAAACACAAGTAACTAACCACTAAAATATGAGCTTGGTCAAGTGTTACGATCAAAACATGATCATGGTATATTGTTGACACGTGCGCGTACAATGTGTGGTGCTGACCATGGTCGTTTGGTTGTCATACACGCACATATACACCGATTATATAGCCGTTTGAAATGACAATCAAGACTATTGGCAATGATTCACACTATTCATGACAACACATGCCATTCGTTGGCATTGAGTTTGAATTACAATCGCTATTAATATTGTAATCAATAAATTATATATCAGTCATAATCACAACAATCACAACAATCACAACAATCACAACAATCATCAAATAGTAGTAATCATAATAATAGCAATAATTGTAATCATAATAACAATAATCACATCAATAATAACCACTCACTCTATTTCACTATCCCTATCGATAGAGGTCTGCATCACAAACCCATTCACACGTACGGTATAAAGTTATAAACACCAAAAGTGCTATTAGAGGTCCGCACGATTGATACCATATTCTTTGAATACAGTATATTATGTAGATTACGAATTGCCCGTTCCCTTCACTCCCGCCTCCCAACAGGTTATTGTCTATTAATTAAGTAATTAATTTAATTTATTTGTAATCTATTGTAATTCAATATTATTATACGAATCTCTTGTAAAACATGTAAAGAATAAATGGTTTTATTTAAACAATTAATTTGTTTCAATTTAATAATAATTTTATTTAAAAATTCAATTTATTTTATATTTACACAAATAGTATGAAAGTCTTATTTAGATTACATTTTGAAGACTGTGTCTATGATTGGATGTGTTGTAAAGTTAGTGACTTAAATAGGGGCCAAATTGGATCACTTATTCATGTCCAGTATATTCTGGGAAAGTGTGTATAGAATTGAGTGTCAAATATAATTTGCAATTTAATTCTAGGTAAAAAAAATCCTCTATACCTTTACAAACATAATACCTGTCGTTCACAAATGTAATATAATGTAATAATATTATTATTCATAAATAAGTTTTAGCATTGATATAACTTAATTGCTAAACATTAATATAAGTTAATTTATTAATAATTATAATGCATTATAATGATCGGGGGTTGAGTTCATTTTTATGTGTTAATAATATTGGCTTAATATCAAGTTTTATTAAATGTCATTCTTATGTAATATTTTTATGTAATATAATTTTATTTGAATCGATGAATGTGATTTTCAGTGAGTACCTTTTAAATGTAATTAAGGTACAGGTATTTAATTCAAGCAAAACATTTAAAATATTTTAATTTAATGCAATAGATTACAATCTTATAATGAATTTTTGTTAAATGCTAAAAAGGGAATATTCCCGATTGCACTTATAAATTATAAGTTATAATTAAGCAAATCGACAGATACAGTATGGGCTTATTCTTCATGAAATTCTAAACCGATCTAGCTATTAACAACGGCAACTTTTTACTACATAGCATGCTATCATATGATCGGTAATTTTCGCCTCATACCTACCCCTACAATAAAATAGTGCCGTTAGATTAAACGCTCGGCATATTAAACACTTAAACAGTTTTAGCATAGATTTAAGCTGCGATCCCATAGAGGGTGGGGAAGAGGAGGGGTGACCGTAGTACGGTCACCGTACAATATAACACAATTTTCAAATTTAATTGTGGTTTAAAAATGTGCCAAGGGGTATTTGGTTGATTACAACTAATTAATTCATTTTAATTTGTATAATATTCATGATTAGTGTTATAATTTATAACTTATAAATGAGTAAGGTTTATTCACTATTTCAAATATCGCAATAATGAATTAATAAATCATTAATAATGATATATCAGCGCCAAG